GCCCCGTGGGCACGCCGTCCTGGCCAGTGCCCCGCTCGAGGGATGCGAGCGGGGGCTCTCTCAGTCAGAGCCTTTCTCGCGTGGGACGAATCCAGATAACCAACGTATTGAAGAAATCACGGCGGAGGTTTTTCGGTTCCCGGGGGCCCTTACCGGGCCTCGGGTCCGTCAACAAAACGACTTCGGGGACCCCGCATTGAAAGACATGACGACGTCGGATCTCAGGGAAGCCCCCCGCCCCGAGAGCCCGAGAGCCTCCTTGCGATGGGGGCCAGGTCAGCTGGTTTCGATCCCCTGCCCAGAGATCCGATGTCGTGATTTTTCCAATGCGGAGCCCGAGGAAGTCTCGACCCATGCCCCAGGACCGGTTTTTCATCCTGAGTCGTTTTTTGACGGTCCCGACGCCCGGCAAGGGCCCCTAGAGGCCGAAAATTGGGAAAAACCTCCGTCGTGGATTTTTTCAATGCTTTGGATCTCTGGGTGGGCTCGTCTCGTCCCATCTCCCCCCCCCTCCTTTTCCTTCTCCCGCGGCGCACCCCGGTGGAGAGGCCAGAGGCCTCTGCAGCTCGGAGGGTCCGTGCTGGGGCCTCCCGCGGGCGCCACGGGGTCGCCTCCCGAGCCACACCGGCAGGGAGAGGAGGAGGAGGCTTAAGAGGGAGGGGGCGGGGCGTACGGCGGGGAGGATGGGAGGGGAGGGGAGGGGAGGGGAGGGGAGGGGAGCGGAGAGGAGGGGAGGGGAGGGGAGGAGAGGGGAGGGGAGGGGAGGGATCAGACCTAAGATGGGGAGGGAAGGCGAGGAGGAGGAGGAGGAGGGGGGGCATGGGCAGGGAGAGGAGGATAATGTTTAGTCGGAAGTCGGGCATGTCCCGCTACAGGAGGAATATTCAAGAACTGTAAACATAGTCTGGTCACGACTTGTCGTGTTCTTGTAAGTATTTTAAACTTGTTTGACAATGTGCATTTGTTGAGAATCCGCCTGTAGGAGGGCATGCCCGACCAAAGGATAATGCTGAGTGGGGATGGGGATTGGGGAGGGTACGGCGTAACATGCGAAGAGGGCAGGGCCACAGGAGGCAGGAGAGAAAGCGAGGAGATAAGAGTAGGGGTATGAGGAGGGAGGAGGTAAGAGAAGGAGGAGGAGGAGGAGGAGGAGGAGGAGGAGGGCGCAGACCTATGCGCCCTCAGGAAGGCACGAGTGCCGACCTGAGGGTCCGATGCAGTCAATGAGGGGCCCAACCTCGCCCTCGCGGCGGCGCGCGCGCCTGCCTTGCTGAGCACAGCCACGTTGGAATAGTAGACGTGGTGCATCAGCAGCAGCGCAGCGGCGGCGGCGGCGGGGGGGAGGGCCCAAAAGAACTAAACGAGTTTAGTCGGAACCCGAGCTGGCACCACCGCCAGTCTCGGGCACAGGAACACGGCCAGCGCAGATATCTTCGCACTGGCGCAACGGCTCCAACTTCGCACCCGTGCGCGGGTGCAGACCAGCCTCGAGCCTTCTGATGCACTGCTTCTGGTTAGCTTTCGTGGAAGAGTTCTTGGAACAAAAACCCAAGCAACTCACCCCGAGCTTGACAAAATGGCCAACAGTGCCCGTGCCGCCACACTTGCGGCAGCAAAAATATTCAGCTGGCTTGAAAACATCGTGACCGAGGGCCGAAAATTGCGGAAACCTCGAGGGGCCTAAGGGCACAGGGGGGGCCTCGGGAGCGGGGTCCCCTGCACCCCTCCGTCTCGAGGGCCCTCGGTCAGGAGCCAGTCGGAAGCCTCACACGCGATCTGCACGGCCTGCGATCGAGTGGGCAAAAACTCATGTCCGTTGGCCGCCCACCATGAAGCTATAGCTGCACTCTGCACTGGCGTGGGAGAACAAAGCTTGGTGGCTCGCTGCGTTAACATGGCCTTGAGCGAGAGCTGATTCTTCGCAAATCGACCGCACAAGCGACACCTCCATTCTCCACGCTCTTGGCTGTGCCATATCTCGTGGCTGATGATCGACAACTGAGGGGGACGAGGGAGGCTGGAGGACACCAGAGGCTCGTCGGGATCACCAGCCCACGCTTGAGACTCCAGGAGACGTTGAGCAGCCCAGCCCAAAAACTGGAGGGTGGACTTATGATATTTGTACTCCCCCGCCAAGGCCTTACATAATCCATCCGCATAACTGTGGGACGCCGAGCCGATCTTCGCGATACATCCGCCCACAAGTTCCCCGCCCAGTGCTCCAGAGACACTCCTCTCTCGACGGCCTCGTCGAGACACAAGTGGGCGGAGCACCAAACGAACTGGGGGGGGGGTTGTGCTGCTGGTTCCTGAACATGTCAGCCCAAATAGCGGCGTGCTTCGCTAGTCCAGCAGCTTGCTCGGGGTCCCAGGCATTGCCTTCTCTGACACTGGCCTGCAAATCGGAAACAATACTGTTCAAAGCGGGGACACCGAAACAATACAATACTGTTCAAAGCGGTGCAGCGCCTGGCGAATCGCCCACCGCTCGGCACGGCCGATGGTCTGGCGCACGCCAGGAAGAGCGCCGAACGCGGCGCGAGCTGGCATTAAATCAGGATCCAACTGGACGACTGCCCAGCCAGCTCGAGAGACTTCGGGGATGCTCGACTGAAGGCAACTCCCGTCAACAAAACTGGTTGGCCCCCACGGACCTCTAACATTCCCCCACATTTGGACCTCAGGGCTGGTCTCAGGAGGCTCGAGGGAGACAGAGAGTGAGGGGACCCCATAGGTGAGGTAGGTGGTGTCAACCTGTGGGTTTCCTCAAATGTCGAGACAGGAATTAATTAACGCTTCCCTATGGCTCAGAATCTTGTCGGGGACCTCCTCGCCTAACGCATCAACGCCGTCCACGACCATTCCAGCACAGTCATACCATATGTGCCCATAAGAGCCCAAGGGAGCCTGGCAGACACGACAATCAGGAGCGATCTGATAGCCCTGAGAGGCTCGAACACCAGGAAGGGGAACCTCATCGGCCATGATCGCTGAGAGAGCTCCGAGTTGACGAGGACACCGAATGGACTGTAGACCTCCCCTCAAAGCCCTGTGCCACACCCTCTCATTGCCGTGTGATGTGTGCATGTGGTGTAGAAGCCTACGATGCTGCCACCTCTGTATGCCCTCTATCATGTGGAGCTTGACGTCGTACGGGCAAGTAGTGAGCAAGTTGACGGTGACCTCAGTGTCCGAGACGAACGTGTGTGCACAAGACATAGCCCACCCGATACGATGAAGTGAAAGCCAGCAGGCCGACATGGGCCCCTTCGCGATCTGCCACGTCGGATTGTCGTCCATGCATGTGCTTAGCCTTGTCCAGGCCCGTTGGGCCCGCCCCAGACAGACCCGTCGATCCCAGATCCAGGCCGCGTACCGTATGCATATACCAAGCGTGCAATCGTATATGGGGTCGTAGTATGGGTCACGGTGAGCCAGAAGGTAGGCCGTGACTCCTCCATGCCGTTTGCCACCGGCCAGGGTCGAGGCCATCTGTCTGAAATAACGCAGCGAAACATCTGAAACTCCAGAGACTCCACCTCCGTGCCCTGCTGCTGGGAGGGCCACCGTTCGGAACAGGAGCGAGGCCTTGCGCCCAACGGCGCTGCGCAGCGCCATGAACTTGCGTCGGCGCTGCTTGAGAGACTTGAGGCGAGCCTTCTCCTGGAGCCGTAACACTTTGCCGCCAGCCGCTTCATGTCCCAGATTTCTCATCCATGGTCGAAGCTGCAACTTGAGCAGGGCCGCTCCTTTACGAAACAGATGTTTGGCCTTGCCTGAGGCCGCCACAATACCTGACTTCTTGGGCTGAGTATGCAGCCCCAACCCTTGGGCGTCGAACCTGAAGATCCGCACGGCCTTCTCGAGCTGCGGCAAGGCGTCAGGCGTGGTGGCGATCAGCTGCAGCGACACGTCGTCGACGAGCGCTCTCGGCGTCACGCAAGGAGCAATCTGTTTGAGGCGCTTGAGCGCCCGAAACGTGAGGACAAAAAGCATGCCTGTAGCGTGGCTGCATCCAGCAAGGATGCCTTGAAAAGCCTCGAGGGACTCGGAGAGACTTCCGAATGCCTTAAGACGCCGTGGTTGCCTGTACAACTCCACAAGCATCCACACGAGGCGAGGAGGATATGCAACAGCCTCAGCTTCTTTGATGAGCTGAGCGGGGTGAACCATTTCGAAACACTTGATCATATCGAGGAGGAGGAGGAGGAGGAGGAGGAGAGGAGGAGGAGGGAGGAGGGAGGAGGGAGGAGGGAGAGAGGGAGGAGGGTGGAGGGAGGAGGAGGAGGAGGAGGAGGAGAAGGAGGAGGAGGAGGAGGAGGGAGGAGTTAGGAGGAGGAGGAGGAGGAGGAGGAGGAGGAGGAGGAGAGGAGGAGGAGGAGGAGGAGGAGGAGGGAGGAGGAGGAGGAGCAGTTGGAGGAGGAGGGAGGAGGAGGAGGACGACGACGAGGACGAGGACGAGGACAAGGAGGGGGATGGGGGAGGGCGGAGGGCACGGGCTACCAAGACGCACACCCTCACCGAGGCTGGACGCCCCCCCGTCGTACATCGCCGACTTTGTGCTTTCCATGTCCGCAAACCCCACATTCGTAAGGGGATTGGGGCAGCCATACCCCGCGTTAGGAGGGGGGGGGAGGAGGCAGATCGGAGGAGGACGAGTGGATAGGAGGGAGAGGGGTGGGGGGAGGGAGGGGCGACCCGCCGGCCTCCTGCCTCGCTTGTGCAACCCGCAGCCCGGAAGCCCTACGCCTCCATGCTCCTCGCTTCCCTCCTCATCCTCATCCTGCGAGGAGGAGGAGGAGGAGGAGGAGGAGGAGGAGGAGGAGGGGAGGAGGGAGGAGGAGGAGGAGGAGGAGGAGGAGGAGGCGGAGGAGGGAGGAGTTAGGAGGAGGAGGAGGAGGAGGAGGAGGAGGGAGGAGAGAGCAGGGAGGAGGAGGAGGAGGAGGAGGAGGAGGAGGGGAGAGGAGGAGGGAGGAGGAGGAGGAGGTGGGCCGTTCGAGGTGATGGCCAGTCAGGGCGTCGCAGAGTACCTCGCCTTCGACTGGCACGTGGACGACGACTCCGCGCGAAAGGACGCCTCCTCACGAGGAGGAGGAGGAGGAGGAGGAGGAGGAGGAGGAGGAGGAGGAGGAGGAGGAGGAGGAGGAGCAGGCGGAGGAGGAGGCGGAGGAGGAGGAGAAGGAGGAAAAGGAGGAGGAGGAGGAAGGAGGTAGCAGGATGAGGCTTTACGGAGCGAGCCTGGATCAAGTCGTAGGCTCAAGCTGGAGCTACATTTGCGCAGTTGCCTAGCGCATTATCAGATCATTCCCGGGCTGCGTCTGCCATGGGCGCCTCAGGACACCCTGACCGACAGCGCCCACATCGAGGAGGACGTGGGAGGATACAAGGTGCATGCCAACCTGGGGCTGTGCAGCGCAGCCAGCGTGTGGCCCGCAGATCTGCCAGGCGACCCTCCCAGTACAGGTGACGCTCAGCTGGGCACAGCTGCCCACAAAGGTACTGGAACATGGAACCTACGGGCACCATCTGTCGATCTACGATATCACGGGGTCATCGCGCCTTTTCCGTAAGTGCTACCGCAAGCGTTACATCCACATCTTCACGGGCGCAGTGGAGGGCGGCCGTATACGGAAGGACAACCGCGTGGGGCCGGTAAGTAATCGAGCTTGACTTCAAAGTGCCACATCTTACCAAGTTCTTGTGGAGACCGACCCCTGGCCGAAAGAGATTTGCTTCCCGCTGTGGGTCAAGGCGGCTGCGCAGCATGCTACGGTGAAGATGCGTACCGAGAACACCCTGAACGTGAATCACCTGGCGCGCGAGCTGTTCAAGGCCTTGTGCAGTACCGGCTACGCTGACAACCAGCGCCATACCCAGGAGGTGTGAAATTACGACGAGAACGCACCACCCCACTCGATGGCCATGCCCCCACTGCAAACCCGACCAGATACTGTGACACCAGGTACATCATCTTGGTCAAGGACGTCGCGGCCAACATGCGTACGGACGGTTCCCTGGACCTGTAACTAGACTGTGCGTACCTCGCGTTGACGAGCGATATGTACCAGCCGCTGGAGCCTACGACTCCAATGAGTAACCACGCGACCCGGGAAACGCAAGTAGCCAGACCAGCTCCAACCACTGTGCCCGCGGGCTATGGCCCGGGCAGCGGTGCGCGGCCGTGCACATGGCAGCAATGGGAGCTGCGTACAAGGCGTACGGATTCCCCACCTGCGAGCACTGTCTTGACAACATACCTGGACAACACTGCGCCAAGGTGGCCTAGTTCTTTTTGCATTCTCGGACCGACAAGGTCCGTGCTGCAAGGGCACAGCGACTACAGCACTACCCACGTGGACTACGGCGGCCGAGTGGCCTGGTCGCTTCATTCCACCCCCTCACTCTGCCTCCCCCCAGGCTTACATGCATGGGTGAGGGGCGCTCGCAGTATGGTTCAGCACTCGTCTGGTTCTTGCCCTGGGGCCATCACGCTGCACTCTGCGCTGGATTGCTCGGACTCCAGCTTTATACAGTGACAGTGGAGACCCATGCCAAGAAACACCCTGCTTGTCTCCAGGGTGTCCTGGGTTTCTTAAGTTTCGATGGTTTGGCTATGGAGAGCGCGACGCTCCCACATCAACAAAAATCAGTGGAAGTCCTGGGGTCTCAGGGTTGGTTTTCTCATGGAAGGCTTCTTGTGGTCGAGTTCCTACTGCATATTCATTTGCATAAGGTGTTACTTCTGGAGGGGCGCAAACGCACAGACACAAGTAATCGTCGACCCCTGGGACAATTCAAGAAAATATGGGAAGTGGGGGGGAGACGAACACCCAGAACATATGGGAAAATTTGGGGAATCCTGGCGTTTGTGTGTGTATTTATTTGTGTGTCCCTGGGGCCCTTGAATTGGGCCGGGCCTCCAGAGGACACCTGGCCAGGGCAGCCCACACGCGCTGGAACAGGCTGGGCAACACAAGCTCGTGCCCCTCCCTCCTTGCCTCCCCTCCCCTTGTATGCACAATGCGAGGGTGAACTCCTGAGTCGGCGCTGGCATACCCCTGGGTCGAAAACGTGCCTCATTCTTCAGTTCCAGCTCGATCGGGCTCCATCCCGTTGAATCCTTTTGTTGTTTTGTTTGATCTGGCTCAGACCTGGGCTTGGACCTGCCTGCTCTGGCTCAGCGGCTCCTCCATCCGGCGGAACGGCCCTTTTCACCGTTCTGACGAAGACATCTCAGGAGTTGCCTCCGAAGCTCCTCTCACGCTCCCCCCTCGCCACGAGAAGTGGGCCCAATGCCCGACGAAGCTATACAGTCCCGGACCCCTCAGTGCGGGATCCCACCAAGACCGCAATCAGATCCCAATCGAGAGCCCAAGAGACTTGCAACTTGAACCCAGTAAGATCTCAATCGGGCGCCTTCCACTTGCAATCGTTTTCTCGTCCGTGCCGTGCCTCCCCAGCCGTGCCAAGGTGTCATTCTAGCCGGCCCTCTGTGTGTGGCGGTATCGGAGTCTTGACGCTGGTTTTGGAAGTATATCATCCGCTCCCACGTTCCTGCATGAGCGTGGTGACGTTTACAGTCGGGGCGCTGAGAAAGGAACCCTTTTCGTTGGGGAGGGGCCCGGTGTTCCTTAGTGGTTTTGCAGTTCGCCTTTGGTTTTGCTTAGGGCTTCGATGGGAAATCGAAGGTTAACTTATGGAACAAAAAGGCCTCGTTCTTTATTTTAGGGTTCCTTAGGTCAACGCCCCTACTGTACCCAGCCAGCCACTTTCGAGGTCTGCCGCCACAGAGCCTTGGAGCGGTGCGGGCCCGTGTGCGCCCGCGTTTCGCTGGGTGTGGTTGTAGCCCCCGCGAGGGGAAGCGGACTCAACACTGTATCGCAGCAGTGGCAGAAATTAGTGGGTTCCTGCAGCGGGGAAAATTCGGGGGTGGACAGAACCCCCAACAGTGACACGTCGATTAGTGAATTGTCCGTTTTCGGTTTTCGAGAGGGCGCCCTGGCCGTTTTTTTCCAGGCTTGCGCCCGCCAGGTCTGGGCCTCAGGTCGTTTTCACTAAACCACGTTTTACTAAAGGGAGGTCTGTCCATCCCCGAAAAATGGTGTCCGCTCACATCTTCTCCCTCCAAGAAACGCTCCCGATCGTCAAGTGTTTTTTTGGTTTCGGAAGAGAGCTACTGAAGGCCGCCGGAGACCACTAATGGCTGCTAAAGGCTGCTACCGGCAACTAGAGGCCGCTGAAAGGCCATTAAAGGTTTGTTGAGTCAGCTCGTAACACACTAGAGGCCACTGAAGGCAACCTAAAAGGCTGCTGAAGGCCGCTGCAGGCCGCTGGAGGCTGCTAAAAGGCCAGGAAAAAAAGGCCACTGGAGGCAGCTAATATATAACACACTGAAGGCCGCCAGAGGGCACCGAAGGCTACGAGATGCCGAGGCGGTATGTGCATGTCTCATATGATGAGCTCCCAGCAAGACTCGTCCGACGATCCGATCCCCCCGCCCGCCGCGAGAAGTGGGCCACCACCCTCGCGCTGCTGCTCGAGGGCAACCGCGCGCGGCGGCCCCGCGGCGCCCGGCGGCTCGGCGAGGCGCCCGCGGCCCGCGCGCCCCCTCTCGCCGCCGCCGCGCCCCCTGCAGCCCCCCGCCCACCGAAGGCACTCTGCAGGTCCGCGGGCCCTCCTCCTCCTCCTCCTCCTCCTCCTCCTCCTCCTCCTCTTCCTCTTCCTCTTCCTCCTTCCTCCTCCTCCTCCCTCCTCCTCCTCCTCCTCCTCCTGCTCCTCCCCTTCTCCTCCTCCTCCTGCTCGTCGTCCTCCTCCTCCTCCTCCTCCTCCTCCTCTTCCTCGTGCGGGACGGTCGGGCGCCGGTCAAGGGGCGCGCGGTGGGCTGCACCGGAAGCTAATACGCAGGCACGAAGCGGAAGAGGCAGTGACGAGAGAAAAGACGCTTCGAGCTCCTCTTGTCCCACCAAGCAAAGTTCTAAGAACATTTCTGGCTGGAGCTGTCTTGTTTTAGTGCATCGAGTTCATGTTCCAAGAACTTTGTTTGTGCTTTTTTGAACATATTTGGGTTCTAAGAACATGTCGTCGTAGGCCTATAGCCTATACGAATGCCGGGGCGGTCGGTCCCTGCTCAAACAGCGATGGAGTTCGATCAGACCATGCTGGCTGGCGCGGGAGTGCCGAGGAGGT